CACACACACACACACTCTCTGTGAGGCTCATAAGCGGGAAAGCGCTGATGCTTCGACGCTCCAAAACACAACTCTAATCAAAGTGGACGTGTGTTTGGCTGCGTTCGCAAAAGAACCGCAATTCCCATGATTCTGCCTGCTGGTCTCATTTTTATTTATTTTATAATTTTTTTTGTGGCTTCGCCTCAAATTAAATCCTCATTTCGAGGAACTTAAAGCGCACTGAGGCCTGTGGGGGACAAGAAGGCTTTACAGCGGCACAGTTTGACAGTACAGGACACATCAATACGAGCAACGTTTCACAAACGGCGGGATGTCATCGGGTTTCCTTTCATCTCGCTCAAGTTAACGTTCTGGTTTGATTTCTTTTCCTGATGGAACAACAGAGACGAGGGTATTTTTACCGCAAGCAGGCGAAGGGCGCTTCTGTGGTAAAACAATCTTGTTTTTCGATGCAAGGGATTATTGGGCAGATAAGGATCTTTGTTTTTGGAGATAATAAATGGCGTCCCAGTCGCTGCAGGTCGCCTGTGTAACTCGAGACAGACAACAAACCTTCCCGGTGTGTTTCAGGAAGTGTCGGGAGGTTCCGGAGGAAGCCGCACCTCCTTCAGTGTGCCGGGTCGCAGTTTCCCTGTGGGAGTCTCCGAGCATCTGCAGTTCAAAATGGCTTCAAAATGATCCGTACACTCGATCCGCTGCCTCTGTTTTTATCCCTATCGTCTCTCCTCTGAAGTTATCCTCTATTATTTTATCAGTGTACATTAACTGAAGCGGAGTGACACTGGAGATGAATCATAAAACAGGAACAACCTCCTTATATGAGTTATATTCTATATTTAGTTGCAGCTGCTGATTCACTGAAACCATAAATTACACTTTAATGTCATGAACTCTTCGTCCCGTTTTACAGACTCAGATTTCGGACACATCTGTGCCTCCGCGCTTCTGCAGGCTCTCCAAGAGCTTCCAGATATACATCAATATGGAAACTAATAACAACATTCAGGCCCCACCCAGGAGGCTGCAGAAAGGTGGTGTTTGCTGTTTTCTCGTCCTTCTGTCGTGTTGTTTGTGGCTTCGCTGGTGTTTTCCCACAACTCCTCGTGTTTTATGAGTCAGGTTCACATCTGCTTCCAGAGATCTGAGCAGCTCCGATATCGAGGAGCGGCCGGAAGTTCCCGTCAGGAGCTGTTATTCCTGTCAGCTGTGGGTCTGCAGTTGTTTTATTATTACAGGTTCCCTTCGTGGAGTCCTGACTCCTGCTGATCTCATCTCTGATTTTATTTTTTGTGGAATTAATTAAGTTGTTAATGTGCGTTTGATTAGAAACACGTTGGATCAGTGAGGATCTGTTCCACAGCAAAGTTTCACTTAACATCTAATTTCATTTGATGGGTGTTTCTGTTTCTGTTTCCTCTTCGCTATTCTTCTCTCCTTCCTCTCTTTGTTTCCTCTCTTTGTTTCCTCTCTTTGTTTCCTCTCTTTCTTTCCTCTCTGGTGATTTATAACTCAGTTTCAGGCTGAGCTGGTTCAGTTATTGGCACACAGACCGTCTCCTCTCGCCGTATGTTCACACATATGTCCCACTCTGCTCGCCCTAGCAGCAGCTAGCAGCTAACAGCTAACAGCTAACAGCTAGCAGATAGCAGTGCACAGGCTCTGCATTGTGACTGTGTCCTGTTCCAACTGCAGCTAATCACAGATGTAATTATGAGATTCATTTGCACACATTTCGCAGGTTGGATGAGTCCTCGCACATTGTCGAGGTCACAGTTTTACTGCTGATGCTGCTGTGTTTGAAATCCATCCATAAGTATCCAATAATGACTTCTAAATGATCACAAAGACGTCCGCTCTCTCCCCCACGCTATAAAAGAACAATGCAGACTCCTTCTGTCCTCACGCTGGAAGCATAATCTGTCTCTGCTGTTTGCACACTGCAGATCGCTCAGGGTGACGGAGCCGGATAAACACCTAAAATGTGCTTAATCTCTGCGCTAAGTATCTAGATCTCATTGTAAAGGTAAACCGGATTGTAATCAAATGTGAATGCCACCTCCATCCTTTCCTGTATGGTTTAAATACATGGAAATATTAATAAAATTACACAAACAGTCTGTGAATTTAGAATTTTGATGTAAAATAACGTGAAAAATCTGTGAATAATCATAAAATTACTGTTTATTTAAAGAAAATGTATTTTTTTCATATCAAAACATTGAAACACATTTGCAAATCTATAATCAATATTTACTGTTTATGTAATAGATTAAACTGTTAAATTCAAGTTTAATTCTGTTAATACATGATGTAAAATTAGTGAGTTGTGTAATTTTAATGGATTAGTTAGTTAACTGACAGATATCTTGTATAATGATGGAAGTTGAATAAATGTTGTTTATCAGTGTGT